ATTGGAGGTGGTACATATATACATATATAATATATAATGCCTTATGCGGCGATGGAGGTTCAAACACGGTGATTTTGGGTTACGTGCAAAACATGTGGTCGTCTTGAGATTAGTCGGTTCGCATAGCGAGTTGAATATCCAGGGGGAATTGGAGGTGGTATATATATACATATATAATATGTAATATATTGGGAGGGTATTGGTGGTACTCAACTATAACTATAWCTATATTGGAGGTGGTACATATATACATATATAATATATAATGCCTTATGCGGCGACGGAGGTTCAAACACGGTGATTTTGGGTTACGTGCAAAACATGGGTCGTCTTGAGATTAGTCGGTTCGCATAGCAAGTTGAATATCCAGGTTAATAAAAAAAATATAACTATTGGAGATATATTATTATTTTGAAAATAATAGAGATATCTTAATTGATCGTAAAGATTTAAAACATAAATTAAAATTGGAATGCAAAAGAGGGTACAACCAGACGAACACAGGTTACAACTCAACTTTAACCAACTTATAACCTTAAACCATACCTAAAATGATCAGACCACCAAAAACACAAACAGTTCCATGACATCGTACTAAGCGAAAAATCCTTAAACAACTCGGATTCATGAAGAAGCTATATATCCAATTAAGGAACTATGATACCACCTCCGATTCCGCCACCTTTCACTGCTCCAACCCCGCCACCAAGGCCGCCTAGTCCACCAAGACCGCCACCACCAACGCCACCAGCACCACCAATGCCGCCACCTGCACCACCAACGCCGCCACCTGCCCCACCAAGACCACCAGCACCACCAAGACCACCCAGCCCACCAAGCCCACTTCCACCACCAAGTCCACCGGGACCGCCAACACCACCGAGTGTTGGAAGCACACCGGCAACTCCACCAACACCAGCAAAACCGCCCATACCACCGAATGCAACAAAGTTCTTCTCGTCTTTGACTCCAGCTTCTCCACTTGGTGCGATGGCAGTAGCCATCTTGACAGTGGGCGGAGTCTTGTCACTTATGGTGGTAGTGGGTATGTTTCTTGCAGTGACTTGCACAAAAAGTACAAGTGCACAGACACAGAATGCTAGGAAGCACGACTTCACCATCTCTCACTCACTCACTCACTTAGAAAAAAGGTTAATTTAGGGGATGTTTGAGGTGATGATGGTGGTGGTGCATGGTCGCTATTTATGGAGAGAAAGAAGGGTGGTGGACGGTTGAAGTGAGCGAATGAATACATTAATGGGTTGCATGGAATTAATGTTTATAGCTGGTATTCAATGGAGTTGCATGGTTTCAGAGTTAGGTGTATATGGAAAGAAGAGAAAATTTAAGGTCGTAAACTTTTTAAGTCAACCCCTTCTACAGGCTTCACGAGACAACCTCGTTGCACCAAAGTTTCATATACATAGTACGTATTCACGTGAGACTAAAGGCTTTTCGTGAGATTAATTTATGTTCATTGATCAATTTTATAAGCTAATGATCTAATGGTTTAAAGTTAAACAATAACAATTTTGTGATTATTAAGAAGTCTCGTAACGTTTATAAATGTTTAGATTGTCAGATTGTAGATCTAATCCAAGAATTAATAATTGGTTTTATGAGTCTCACGAAAAACCTTTTATCTCACATGATCACAAGTCTCTCTCTATATGCATTTTAATTAATCCAATGATGATAAAAAATTAAGTATTTTGGGATTGACTATGGGCTCAAAATAGACCCTGAAACTGTTTTCAATTTACAATTGTGTTTTCCTAACGTTTTTAATTGTTTATATTTTCCCAAAAGTAAATATTAAGCAACAATAATATATTTTGACAAATGTTCATATTTTAAGTAATTGTAATTTGTAAATTTGATTTTGATTTTGATACTTTCAGGATTAAAAAGAAAATAGGTTCATTTGTTGGACTCTAAAGAGATTACATGAACCTTCAAAATATGGTTACCCAATAATCACGTTCATGTGTATGATTGCATCTTGAGACGTTCTTGTAAGGATTTTATTCTTAATTAGGGACAGTTGGTTTAAGGCTCCTCTCCAAAACCTCAAATGACCCTCTCGTTGTGCTCGGGTTCTCATTGATTCGTATAATTGGTTGTCCGGGGTTGCTTTTTCTTATATTTTTCTCTTTTTTTTGTTTCCTACGGTTGGTGTATACATTTTCTTTCTCGCTCCTTTTTAATATAATTGGTTGCCTTTCAAATAATACATTTCAACAACCCAACCCAATGCTTGCGGTTTGAAAAATCTTAACCCAACCCAACCCAACCCAACCCGTACGGGTTAGTCGGGTTGATACTTTGGTATATTAAAATATTTTTTTAATCTTGAATATGTTATTTCTTTACTTATAATTTATTTTTCATCATCAACTACTTGATTCAATTTATCCATACTTCTTACGTATATCACATTCAGTTAATTTTCTCAATTTATATATATATGTTCACAGTTACCGAACACATATATAAATGAGTTATATAAAGATGTGAATAAATTGAAAATATGTGTATATGAAGAGCATACATGATAGTGTAATTGTTAATGTATATGTTAATAGAAATTCAACAATTATATTAAATCCAAAAAATAAAAGGATATCAGATTTATCGGGTTAGGTTGGGTTCAAATAATATATAGTAACCCAATATCAACCAAATACCTACGTTTTGACAATTTTACAACTCAATTAAATATCGGATTGAGTTATTTCGTATTTGGTTGGATTGGGTTAATCCAGTTGGTCGGATTTTTGAACACCCCTAATTATAGTTGGTGTTAAAAAATACATGAAAACGAGAAAAGGGTTCTTATTAGAATTAGTTTGAAGTTTTATATAAATTTCTTAATTTCATGACTTGGGAATAATGTGAATAGAAAAAAAGGTTTTTATAAATCATAATATATATATTCAATTGAAATAAATAAATTAATAATTCCAGTCACGAAATAAAACCTTATGCAAGTCACGAGTTCACAGCATGCCACCTTGCTTGTGTTACTTCTTTTTATGCATCCAGTATTTTATAAGAAGAATTATTTAAACTTAAAATAAAATATTAATTATAAATTATCTTATTTTTCAACATGAAGTCGTAAATCATAACAATTTTCAACAAAATAAAAGTTGAAAAAAAATTCATAATTTACTCCAAAAAGATGTGAATTTTGGGATCGGGAGGGCGATGAAATTAAATGGTATTGTGTTCATCGGAAACAGAGATGCCAATTTACTGCATCAACATGACTTCTCTTTTGTTTTTTCTGCTTCATAATTACTGATTTCTTTTCAAATTCACCTTTGTTTGAAATAAATATATTGTATAAAAAAGTAATTTCATTCACGTATTTTTAAATTTTTTATTTTAATATCTAATATCTAGAATTTTAAACATTTAAGTATTTAGATAATCGATTGAAAACTAATTTTAAATTTAAAAAAAATTCATGTTTCTAACCACGTCGGCAACAATACTGAGTTGGATACCATATCACTCGCCACATCAGCATGATAACCGGTTAACGCTTCAACCGGTTAACGCTTCAACAGGTTACCCGGGTATTTAAATGTTTGAAACTTTACGTCTTAGACACCAAATTGAAAGTATGTTACATAAACTAGGAATTAAGTTAAAATACGTTACTTTTTCATATAATTTGTCCAAGTTGGAGTTGTATAATTGATAGAAAGTTAAAAAGATTTGGCTGAATTAGAAACACATAGACGTACTGGTTTAGCAATTTAACCTATAGACTTAATTATCATAAATTTCAAAATAACCATTAATGGCAACACAAAATTTATTATGTGATAAAAGATTAGAATTTTTTACCATTTTAAGTTTGGATATGTTTATTAAAGAAATTTTAATTTTTTCATTCGGTTAATTTAATTACAAGATTCATGAAAAACAACCGAATTTACTTTTAAAAATAGACATGAAAGTCTAGGCGAAATATCGTGTGAGAATGAGAGTTAAGCTGAAAAATGTAAGAATAGATTTGGTCACTTGATCACATTTAATTTCAAAACCATATGTGAATCGCTTTTGATACAGGGATTGGATCTGGTGCATCTCATTCTAATGTGCATTCAAGGATGAAGATCCAATCTTACGCTTCTCAACTTAACATTTTTTTTCTTCTCACCATAATCCAACACTGAAAGTCTTAACCGGTCATTTAGGTATATAACCTTAAATAAAATATTATAGCAAATTACATTTTTAGTCTATGTGGTTTGTTGAAATTTTTTATTTCCATTCATATGGTTTTGAAATTATAATTTTTTCGTCCCTATAATTTACAATTCATTACCATTCTCATACTTATGATTTAAAATTTATTTTCATCTATGTGCTTTACAATTCGTTTCTAGTTTAATCTCTTATACCTAAAAGTAGTGTTTAGCATTAAGGACGAAATAGAAATGAATTAGAAACTGTAGGGAAAAAAAACTCAAATTTCAAAACCGTAAGGTTATAGGTTAAAGGTTTTTTAAAAGAATTTAATTAAATAAAAAAAGTTACATGAAAAATACATATACTCTTTACAAAATAATATATATATATATATATATATATATATATATCAGATTTGAGAAAGCAAAATTGTATTCGGTATAATAGAGCGACTTTATCAAGATTCTTAAAAAAGTCTAAAACTTCAAATTCCTAAGAAAAAATAGCATCCAATTTCAACAGATTTTTCATTTTATAGACTATAATATCAATTATATTATTAAAATATTTTTTTATGCATAACAAAATATTATTTTTCTCTCATAAACATTTAACATCAGTGTTTTTTTTATTGGTGGCATACAATGACAAAAAATGATTTCTCTTATGGTAATTATTTTTGGAGAGTTACACAAATGTGGAGAATTTTATACACACACTCTCTCTCTCATGCTTTCTCTATTTTAAAGAAAGTTTTAGAAAAAATACGTTGCCAAATATTTATTTTTCCATTTTTAAAGAATTTATTAAAGATGATTTTAATATTCACTGTACCAATGTAAAAAAATATTGTGTCATTTGATGATAAAATAGTGTAACAAATAATTTTTGGTAAATGATTATAGTAATACCTTCAAATTATAGCTTAGGTTGATATGTTGATGTATGGTAGGTTGACCATAACCCATAAGTCTCCATGTATTTTAAGTTACCATTTTTTGTCGAGTCTCGGTAAATTTATAAATCTCAATGGGTCCCGGTATGGTATATGTTCGATATGTTGCCGCTACTTGGTGCAATTCGATGAGTCATTTTACATGTTCGATAGTTATGAAATCTAAATGAATCTCGATATTCGTCGGATAAAATGTATCTCTATGTGTTCCATCACATGCTCAATAAATGTGCAATATTGCTTCTTGTTGGAACTTGGCTTTCGTGTGAGAAACTTGTCCACATAGGAGACTCAAAGAAATTTAACCCACTTAATAAACATCAACTTTTGAGCATTAAACCACAAGGGTGGTGTCTGATTGGTTTGAACTTGACTTCAAATGTCAAAAGTGTCTGGAGGTCCCAGGTTCAAATCCAATAAGAAACAAAAATCCTCTTTTGGCCACGGAGGTTCAAATGCGGTGAATCCGGGCTACCTGCAAAACAGATAATCGTCCTGGGATTAGTCGGCCCATATAACGAGTTGGTAAAGGTAAAAAATGGGCCTTGGACCAAAAGTATGATGTGAAAGTGAAACCGAAGGTTATTTATACAATCAGCCGGGGACAACAACTATTTAATCAAAAGAGAAAAGGGTTCGATTTGGTCGACACTCTTTTGAAACAATAATATTGAACCAATAGAGACTACATAGAGATAATACAATACAGAACTGTCCCGATCATTTTGAAAACCTTGTTACACCCGTATATAAACTATAAATCATCTTAAATGAATAATGAACAAAATAGATATAAAGTTTCCTATTATATTAAAAACACTACAACAAAAATGTTTAAATTGACAAAGTTATAATAACATTAAAGAGAATTTTTTTATCAAATTCTGAAATTAAATAAACGTTTTTAATTTTGAAAGAAAATAAATAGGTTTTCACTGAAGTGAGTTCACATGTTAGATATAAAGCCAGGTAGAGATGGCCAAAAACCGGTCCCAATCGGTCTTAACATTTCTCATAACCGGTCCCGGTCGAAAATGATAGGACCGGTCAAGGTACTTCATAACCGGTTATGGGCCGCCGGTCCCGATCCCAACCGGTCATTGCATTAAAAAATAAGATTTTTTTATTTTTCTAATGATATATATTTTTAATACATTATAAAATTTACAATTTGGTCACTCAAATACACTTTAAAAATACGTTTTAATATAATTAAAATTACGTTTTCTTATAAAAATACATTATAAAATTATTTAAAAATACATTTATTTATAGAATTATTTGAATTTTCGGGCCGGCCCGGTCCATAGTCGGTCCCATAACCGGTCCCGGTCCCACGAAACTACCAAAAACCTCAACTGGTCCCGGTTTTCGGTCCCATAACCGGTCCTTACCGGTCCCGAGCCGGGCCGAGCCGATTTGGCCATCTCTAAATCTAGGCCCAAAAAGCTAGAAAAGTTGGGCCCAATTTTTTTTGGGCATAGTTCAAAAACCAAGATTTAACATACTAATAGACAACATTAGAACAATACAAAGATGTATATCTGACAGAACCCATCTTATCGTCTTGTTATAGCCTCTATGGGTTCATCACCATTTTGGTTTAGTCTAGATGGATCAATTTAATTTATTTTACAAAAACATGTGTAATTTCCTGAACTAATTAAGACCCAATTGAAACAATATCAAACCATCGATACAATATCGGTTTGATGCAAAACCAAAATTTCTTACACGACCTATGGTCAATTTCTACATGGTTACTTGAAAATTTAGTTATTCATGAGTATAACAATACACAACATTGATAAAAATATCAACGAAACCTTCTCTTATAGAATTAAATCCTAAGCAATTCCTTAAATATAAAGCTAAACCATCAATGAGAGGAACAAAACCTTAAATATTGTGAACTCGGCCGTCAATTACGAAGTAGGATGCGTGTGAGAGAGTAGTTTAGCTCGATTAATGGTCAAATTGTTTTAGGCTTTTCCAAAAATAATAACTCAATCCTCTCACCTAGCAATATTTTGATATTGCAATACCATCAATCTAATAAATATGAAATAGTCCAAAGGTCATGTGAAAAAGGAATTTATAATGAGAAGCGTAAGAAAAGATATGAATTTTTGATCACTTTTAATCTCAAGGCCACCCATGAATTGCGATGCACCTCATTAGTATTGATATTCTTGATGCAAGGGTGGAGATCTTTCTTACGCTTCAAACCAACCCATAAAAATTCGTACTGAGAATTCATACAAATTTGATAGTATTCAATATTGATCTTTGACCTAAGTTTACTGTATTTATAATTGTATATTGTTGGTTGGGGATTTAGGAGAAGAAACAATAGAAAAGATGGAAAAAAGGAATCATGTACCATTCCAATACTTTCTTTCTAGGCTAGTGGTAAATATAAAGGGACATATTTTTGGTTCAAGCTTGTCGTTTTTTCTAGTTGTTAAACATGAAAGCAACGCACATTAGATTTTGGACATGAACAAAACCCCAAACAAGCTTTGAAAAATCAAAAAGGAACTCCATGATTAATTGGGTTTTCGGGTCTGCTTACGGAATACCCCGGCAACCACAGATAGTCTAGAGTTATCATAAATGAACCCCCAGTACTACAAGGGTTTTTACAGCACCAGGAATATACGTTAAGTAACTGATACATGCACTATAACCCATCATTGATAATGTTCTTCTTTTCAATCAATCAATCAACACAAAAGCTAAAAGATTGCATCCTTTCACAAAATTAAACAACAAGAAAAGAGAGGTGCATCAATCATTTACCAATACTCTTTTCCATTCAATTTTCATGGTTGAAGTAGTTTTCACATTCCCATTACATCTTATATGATTCAAGAAGCTAAAATTCCACAAGATAGAAACGAAACAACGGAAGGAAAAAGCATTATGATCCTCTAATCCAATAGAGTAATAACACACTCGGTGAAGAGAAACAAAACGGATGGACAACACTTCGCACCTTGGTCGAGGTTGCACAACAAAGAGATTGTATAAAATGTTCACTTAATTGCCAAGTGAGATAGAGTAAAGGGATATCTGTGGCATATGAGATCTATATGTATATTTTCTTATATGCATATGTGGCAGTGGAAACTAAGGAAAGAAGAAAGAAAACAAGTCTTTACCAGCTGAACCAATGAACGACTGGCTGAACTTGCTAGCATTGGCGGCCTCTGCGACAGTTAAGAACTCCAGCACCGGCAGTGAGGGTACCAACCATAGCAGATGGCTTTGCACCCAAACTCGAGGCCCGAGCATAGCTTGCTGCGGCTCCAGCTCCAGATTGGATGAAATAAGCCCCATTAAGAAGCAAGTCACCCTCTGATCTCCAGTTCCATCCATGCCATTGCCTTGAATCTGTATCCACCCTCTTTGTAACCTATTCATTTTCAATCACCATTAATTAAAACACAAGTTCAAAACTTAAGAAATTTAAAAAAAACATATTAACTTATAATCACATTACAATTTACATTACCTCCTTTGCAAATGGATTTGCAGGGGCAAGGTATCTGTTGCCTTGGCTATTGATGGTAGGGTTTGCACTTCCACCAATGGCATACATCTCCCAATGGGTGTAGTCATTGTTCACCACATGGAAATACCCATGTCTGCATCTGTAGTTAATTTTGTTTACAAATATTCAGTTGCCTTAATACCTATTTTGGGTTGGGTTCCGATAAGAATGAAAGTTATGATGAGAAGTGTAAGAAGGGATCTTCATCATTGGATTGACCCTAATGAGATGCACTAGATCAATTCCCATGAGAAGTGTAATTCATAGGGTGGGGGTGAGATCCAGATCCCTTTTACGCTTCTCACCTGAACACCTATTCTCGCACGATCCTTCGTCATTCTAAGCTATCTATCAACAAATTTACTTAATTCTACCTTGGCATTCTTTGAATAAGACCTTCTCCAAAATGATTGTAGGCAATAGTCACTTGCATTAGCTTGTCTCTCACATAAGAGTCGCTGTGTCCCAACAATATCACCTGTTTTTATCGTACGTATCATTTAAAGATATATTAATTTCTCTAGTTAGTTAAAAGGATTTTAATTAAGATTAACGCACCTCGTTATGATGAGTAAAGTAATTGTTTGAAATGGTGATGGCAGTTGAACCCATGACAGCATCCACGAGTCCATCAGCGCAATTAGATAGAGAATTGTGATCGACCCATATGTGGCTTGACCCAAAGATGGAGATGGCATCACCATCAGCCATTGTCCGCCAACCATAATGGGAAGGAGAGCTTCTCACAAGGGCATTCCCAGTGGGTTTACAGTCATGGATGTGTAAACCATGAACAATGATGTTGGTAACAAACTGGATTGTAAGGCAGGCTCCATTAGCAATGTGGACATTGACCCCACGAGCATCGATGGTCTTGAAGCTGTTCATGATAAGTTCTTGTTTCAATTGGATCACCATGTCACGTTGGAAGACAATCCACAATGGAGCATCTTGGATGACAGCATGGCGTAGGGTGCCAGGTCTTGGGTTAACAGGGTCATCATCCCTGGGGTCAGTCACCACGTAATAGCGTCCATCACGCCCTCCTATGGCATTTCGGCCAAAACCAATGCCACAATCAGCAAGGCGTTTGCGGTTACGTCGCCAGTTCGGGTCACACCTCCAGCAGTCATCAATGGGATTACCCGTACCACATGAAAAATATCCCAGTTTTCTCCTCTCTGTGCTGTTTCTCATACTCCTGGTAACAAAATATCACAAGTTCTTTCACAATTTTTTCATATTATTGCCACCACATTATGTAAGCGGGTTGTTTGGTTGGTTTTCCATTTAGTCATGTATATATAAAGTTGCCTGTATGGATTAATCTATCTAAAGATTGGGAAAGTTTTTGTTCAGGTGGGTTTGTTCATAGATGGAAAGAGTGTTTTTTAATTGGGTGGGGTAGGCTTTGAGAAAAACTTGGCTTTTTTGCATAAAGCTTCCACCGGAACTTACAAAATAAGCCACTTCCTATATCATTAAGTCACTATGAAACAATCATGTATAGCCGACCAAATAAGTGGTGAGTTACATTAAACTCATTAAGCTCCATTAAGCTGCTAAAACACGTTCTTATTCTGATATTAGTATGTAATGTAATAATGTCACTTTCAACGTTGCAGTAATTCTCAATAGTAAGTATGGGTATGTGGTCAACAAAACAAAGATATGAGATATCTTCTACTGGATTCTGTCGGTGGCATAGCAGTACTTGTTGCCCTTTGCCAACAATAGAATAAGTATACATTTAAGGATGAGAAATATTTTGTCATTTCTATAATGGAGACAAGAAGTAAGTTGGAGATGGCTTTATATCTTATAAATCAGCACAGAGATAAAAGATGACACATTTCAAAGATAAGCTTCTCTCATTCTATGATTACCGGAAGCAAAAGAATTAAAGAAAACCTAATTGGTTACTTTTGATTGCACATGGATATGTACATACTAAAATTGAAATGTTGCAGACATATTCACATTAGAGCTCATGATAATAATTCAAAACAAGAACAACCTTGGTGGACCATCCCTGACAGAAACAACTCATTTGACTTTTCAAATAATAGTCTCTAAAATATAGTCCAAAAAGGACAATATTGACATTTAATTGAGGCTCTTGTTGAGAAGGGCCCTAAATATGTCAAAATCTTTGTAATTGTAGTATCCCCAAAAAGTTCCAAGCCTACTCAATACCTAAATTTTGCAAAGCCTGTTCTATTTCATAAACATGCACTGCAGCTTCAAAACATTAGCGGTCCCCATTATATGTTTTTAACAATGCACACAAAGAGTCCCCAAATTATATTCTATGACATATATCCGGAAAGTAAGGACCATTCATGATGCCATAATTTGCAAGATTGTTACAAAATATTGTGTTAAGAGTGTAGATAAATCAAAACTTTAGGTAAGACTTATACTTTACCAATGCAGATAAATAAGGAGGCGGCATGTTATGAGGCAATACAACCGCTCTTTAAATTTTAGAAGCAATAAATACTAGTAGAGGCACAAACCATACAAAAAACTTTAACATAAGCATCTGTTTGTTTTATATCATACCATTTTAGCATGTGATATGAAATTACTTTTTCTTATTGGTTTGATTTTAAACTTATATACCTTCTTATACATAAATATCCTCAAGTTCTCAGATGACCACATCTTAACATTGATGTATCAGCCGCAAGTTTCCTTACAACATGGTTTGTTGCAAATCATGTTTGCAAGCTGTTTCAGACGGTGAAAGCAACTTTGACGATTTTGTGGTCAGTTAGGTACATATCCAAAGCAAATTTGATGGCAAAAAGAGGTAAGGGTATGAATGCAAGACCCATGTGGGATTTAATTAGGGTACTGGTACTGTAGACAGCAGCAGCACATGGTGCTTAATTCCTATCTTCTTGTTATAGTGTATGCCAACGATAAAGAAAATTTATGAAAAATCCATCTATGTGAAAGCAAAATGTCTCAAGGATCATTGAATGTGAGGCTGAAGTAGTGCATTTCAAAAAACCACAAGCGGAAAAAAAGGGTTTTCCGAGTCAGATCTGTCATACCCACAACAACCACCATTTCCAACAGACACAATTAATGCTATTAGCATTTAGCAGCACCTTTCTATTCCAACAAGGAAATACATTAAAATCGATATATTGACAATTTCTGAGATAATTGGAACATATTTATTGCTGAACCTACAAGAAAAAACCCCCACATGAGATGAGCATTTGGTGGATCGGCTAACTCTTGTGGCTGTTATGAGTTCAGATTTATCAGTTCCAAACAATCTCAGAGTTTGTCAATTTCTATATTTGTGTATACATAGAGAAAGATCCTTACATTTCAACCATTGCGACAACCTCCTCTGGATCCTGGACCGCATTTTCATTCAAAATTTCAATCTCCTTCACTCTGCATCAACACATAAATCAAAATCAAATTCAGCAAACGAACAAGTAATATTACAAATTGATTGAAAAACCATATAACTGAAATAGAAGTAGGAATCGACAAAGCTCAAATCCAAATTAAAGTACAATGGAAATAGCAAAAGGTATAAACTATTATAACAATATCATTGATCTGAATATACCGAGATAATGGAGTTTCGGATTCAGACAATCAGTGAAACTGACGCATACCAAGAAATAAATCCCCAAATCAATGCCATTAAAGAGCTCTTAAGCGGGGGCCAATTCAGTAAATGGAACCCAATGTCTAAGAAGTGAAGAACCGACATGCAAAAAGTGAACGGACACAAAAGTACACTCTGCATCCATTTCAACACCGTAATGTGACGTGTGTGTGTGTGTTTTAGTGTGTTTGTGTGTGAGAGAGAAAACCGACGTTATCGTTGTTTGTTACGTTTAAAACCGTCACTGTAAACGGTTTCTCATAACAGAAAAAAGATATTCCTCGAATCAGTGTGAAATGACGGAACTGCCCTACAAGATGCTGTTTAGCATGGGATTTGTGTATGAATCCGGTGATGAACAACGGTAAATAAACGGTAAGATCTGAACCAATTCGGTATCTCAACGGCTGAGATTTTGTTTTGTTTGATGTACTTTTTTGGGTTAACAAACGTAACGATGCGGATCTTGCTAAACAACGCCGAAAATGAAGTAAGTCACACTGCACAAGCGCTAAATTCTGAAGTGAATCAACTCAGTGACATATGTTGCTTACCTTGCAGCCATTGATGAGTTGTTGGAGGTCTGCAACTCTTCTACCTCGATAGTCCTGTAACATTTAACAAACACAACAAATGTAAGCCTGCTTTAGCTTAACGAGTCCATTAGATACAAAAAAAATACTCTGTAATTATCAAGCTAGCTTATGAATTCAGAAGATAATTTCAACAATACCGAATTCTATGTTCGGAATGAGTAATGTATATGAAGAAAGTTGAAGAAATGGTATACAAATAAGCGTAGTTGAACTGAAATTTTGCAATTGGTTTCTGAAATGCTGGAAAACAGAAGAAACAGTAACCATAATCATAAAGAGATACCTAGGTTTTGAGGTGGAAGCAGTTTTGAAGATTCCAACAAGCAACATCATCAGAAACAGAAAGGAACACAAAGAGACCCACTTCTTAGGTATCTCCATCGTCGCTAAACACAGTGCTGATTTCTCTCTCTGTTCAACGAAGAAATCTTCAGACAGTAATGTGTGCTCTGGATATGAAACTTAAGGAAGAAGGTGTGTAGGAGAGGGGAGAGAAAGAGAGGAAGTGGGAGAATCAGAGATGCAGACCCAACGTAACGTCCTCTTTTATATAGACATCTCCCTGCAACTCTCGAGGAAAAGAAGTTAAAAAGGTTAACGGCCGTTTAGGTGAAGGAAAACGGCACAAATTAATAAAATATTATATATATTTTAGGTCCGAAATTATGATTTATTTTTGTTTTTTATATTACGAGTTGTTTATATATCTCTTAATAGTTTTATTAATAAACAACTTTTGAATCATTAATAGGTAAATCTGTTTTGTCAGAAAAAAAAATCTATCTCTTAATGGTTCTAAAACTCTCTGAATGATTTTGTATCATGGATCTCCCTTACCCATTAAGAGCCCTAATTTCATTGTACACAATTACCAAACAATTATATTCCATTTTGCATTATATCATGAGAGTCTCTTAATCATTCTGACCACTTAATTATTTTGCACCAAACCATTCATCAATTATCAAACAGTTCTTAGATTTATACAATATGTAAATTAACAGATGTTTCATTGTGGTAAAGAAAATGTGAAATGAAAGTTTAAAAAAACATTAATAATGTATGTTTAAATTTAAGCAAATAAAACTCATTCTCCCTTTTTCTAGAGTAAAAAGGTTGATAACCGGCATTCCCGATCAGTCCTAATTCCATAAAAACCAGTCATTTAAGAGTTGAGAGTAACTCCAACAAATTTTTCAAAAATAAAGAATTAAAAATAAAAATCTTTAAAAAAAATTATGTTCATCTCCAACTTTCTCCATTTTTAGAAATTGTAAATACGAAATCTTTAAAAAAAATTAACATTTAATATTTTTAATAAAATATTATTTTTCTCTTCTATAAATTTAGTTTTAATGATTATTATTGATAAGAATAATAAAAAGTAATTTATTTTTTATAAGTAATCATCTTTTGAAAGTTCTCAAATTTGAAGAATTTCAGTATTTCAACGTATTTTCTCTCATATTCTCTATTTTAGATAAGGTTTGAAAAAATATATTGAAATAAAAATCCACAAAATCTCATTTCTCGAGAATCTATTAGAGATGTTTTAACTCAACGACTAAGACTAATAAAAAGTAGGGGTGAGCATAGGCGGGTACCCGCTCTATTTGACAGGAACCGGAACCGGCGGTTCTTGAGATATTGGAACCGAAACCGGTTAGAGCGGTTCTTGAATTTTTGGAACCGGAACTGCCGGGAACCGGTTCCGGGTACCCGCTTCCTAAAATATTAAAATTTTGTTATTTAAAAATAAAAAATAAAACATTGCCAAAACACTAAATAAATAAACAAGAATACAAATTATTCGGAATAATGGTTACAAATATTGTTTAACGATTACAAACCATAATAGACTAATAGTAAAAGTTGAAAGTTTAATGATTACATATTTTAATTGTAAAAGTTCAGAGTTTAACGATTACATACTATAATTGTAAAGGTTCAAAGTTTAACGATTACATACTACGAATCAAATTAAACACACAATTTGAAAAAATATGGATCATTTTATCTCAAATTCTGAATATGAAGTTCTAAGTTATTGACCTAATTTAAATTTAGTATTAAAAAATTAATTATTATTTTTAATTGAAAAATACCGGGTACCCGGTCCCAAAACCGGTCACGACGGGTACCCAGCGGGTAACGGTTCCAAAAAATTAAGAATCGGAACCGAAATCATTCTCAATTGATTCCGTATTTTAGGAACCGGAACCACTCATATCAGTTCCAGTTCCGGAACCGATAGTTCCACGACAATTTCGATTCCGCAAGTGGGTACCTGATTCTGTTGCTCACCCCTAATAAAATGGTTAAATTCGTTTCCTATAATATTTGAAATTAAACGTGTTATGTATTTAAACAAAATTATTAAATCTTATGTTATGGTGTAAATAATAAACCCAATTTCAATTTCCCATGTTATGGTGTGAGAAACTCCAAACACAATCATGCACCCGCGTAATCCGGACCATACCGTAGATTGCCATCCTTCCGTGAATTTCACACACGTCACGGTTTATGTTGAAAGAAGGTGCTGACTTGTTCACCAAATTGACGCCAATATTGCCGTACCACACTAATTTATGCTTGATTTGTGTAAACATTAATACAAAGAAACAAACATAATAATAAAATTAATTATAAATAAAAAGTTATTTAACATAAAAGATTAATTTTTTTTAATTAAAATACAAATAAATTTAAGAGATGATATAATTTTTGACTTCCAACGAGTAGTAAATAAAAAGGGGTGTTTTTAACATGTAACTTGTTAACTATGTAAATATTCACACTCCAATATTATTGTATCATATTTAATTTAGCTTAATTTAATTTAACTATTTTAATGTTATGAGAAATGAGACATCAAATAATGCAAAATTTAATATTTTAATATTCATAATAAATACATTTATTAGTAATGATTTAACATGAAAAATAGATATAATGTAAAATTTAGAGCATTAATTGAAAATGATTTTACCCATAAAATCAACAATAAACAAATCATAAAACAATTTAATTTTCTGTTTACAAGTAAATATACTAAACGACTTAAATCAAGTATCGTTAATTGTTTTTTAAATAAAACCTGGTAAAAAGATCAGATAAAAACCATGCAATTGGTCACATCCCTTTTCTTAAGGGTGTTTTAGTTCTTTTCTTTTCATTTCTCTTCTAAATTTTTTAAAACCAAAAATAAAATTAAACCTACAAAAATTAAAATGAAAAATAAATGTGGATGCAACAAACAAGTTTTAAAGGATGTTTGGAAAAAAAAATTGGTTTTATATAATAATGGGTACATTTTAAAAAAAGCTTAAATTTTCATTCCAAATTATACCGGAATGAATGAAAATTTCGTCATTTTTATTTTTATTTTTATTTCCCTACCTGATCCAAACAATCCATTAATTAGTGATTCACAAATTCATGTGTTTGTATAATTGATTTTTGTAATATTAAAGACAAATTTAAGAACCGTTATAAGAACATATCTTCTTAAAGAGAAGGAACGGTTTAGCATTGTACTCTTTATATTGTACGACCTATTTCATTGATTATTAGTAGGGATGTGTCACCAAATTTTAAATCCTTTAACGTCAAGCAACAAAACTCATGAATTTGTTACACCAACTGTTAAATAAATTCATTTGCTTTTATATATGTTTGTTTAGTTGTTCGTACTATAATCAACATTCAAAATTAAAAGACAAACCGGTAAGGAGTTCTCAAGACACACAAGTCTGTACAACAGAAAAATAAATGCAATGTCTTGGGTTCCATTTCCGAGGTCGTAGGTTCTATTCTCAAGGGCCATTGAAAATTTTACTGTCTGTGTTCTTTCAGATTGCTTGAAATGTATGTAAACTGATTCAAACACTTGTAATTACCAGAAAATAAGAGACACACACATGCCTTATCCAACAGGTGTATCTCATTCTAATATTTTTCTTATTGAAATCTCTTACTGTTGATCATCTCTCTCAGTGATTTGATGATAATCCATTTTACCTTATACAAAATATTATTGTTTTTGTCATTCAGTTCCAGCGATCGTCACTGAGTCTGTTCAGTGATCACTGAGAACATGTAATGTAAATCCATTAGCGACATCGATGCTTCAAGAAGACAAAACTCACACGAAATAACCATAAGTGAAAGTCGAAGACTGAAACTGAAGATTAGAGACTGGCGCGTTCGTGATTTGAAGCAGAATTCAGTGATTACAACCTGTTCTACATATGTGTGAAGATTGTCCAAACCTCAGCGAATGCTGAAGAGACCTTCAGGGTTATTTCAGCATTCAACGATCAAAAGAAGCTTGTTGAGTAAGATTGCTTTTGTCTTGTCCTTTCACACACAAAGGACAAACTCATACCCTTTATAAAGTATAGTACGGTACGAAGCCGATTAATTGACTCTACTACCCACTAACTCCATAAAAGGATATCTGCTCATGAATAGACTTTTATACTATTCACTGTACCAAATGACAAGTCTTTTTTTAAAGGCTTGACGCGTGTTCAAACTCTGCTGCATTGTATTAAATGTGCATTTAATGCAACGAGTATAAATAGATACGTTCTATCTTCATACAGAGATACTCTAATCTTAATCCTTACGTGCAAACGTGAAAGAACACATGCATCTAAGAACACAATATGCTTATCTTCAAAGCAAGTTTGAATCCCTTTTCAAGCATTCTAAATAGTTCTTACCCAGAAAGAACTCACTTTCTTCTTAGTCTTAAACAACAAATATTTTCTCTTTGCTAAAAACTTTTGTGTGTAACTTAAGATTGTTTAGATAAGTTATCTACCTTTATCTTTTCCGTATACAATTTTGTGAAATATGTATTGATCTTTCTTTACCAATATATATTTTAAATTTGAAAAGTTTACTATGTTTGTATTCACCGTCCCTCTACAAACTGTTTCTAAATATCTTGTAGACTCTAACGAGACCAACACTTACTTATTTTGAAAAGTGAAAAACTCAGAAGGAATAAAAGGAAATAGATCACTACAAATGTGATAGTTCGACATTCAGATGTTAAAAAGGTAGGTTTCCAATTTTACAAATTATGTAGGTTTTTAAATATATAGTTAGTTATACTGGCCAAACATATTTCTCTTGTTTTAGAATAAATTTAATATTATAATTTTATGTTTGATCCTTTTTATTTTGTTTTATAAATTGTTTTCTTATAAGTATTTCACCTTTATCATATGCTATTTTGTTAATAGTTACAAATAAATTTTTTAGTCTTTTTAAATGAATCGTTTAACATAAATGACAGGTTATTTGATGATTGTTGAGTTTACTTTTTTTTTTCTTCATGATATCATGTTTTCAAACGAAAACACATTTGAACCCATTCAACGAAATGACTATCAAATTAATACAAACATGGTGGATCGATATGCAAAATTTTGGGGCTATTTAGTT